AGGGAGGGAGCCCAGCCCGGTTCGTGGCTCACCAATGAACCTGATGGCCGCCGCTCGCAGGGACTCCTGTGGGCTGTCCAGGTACATCAGGGCCCGGTGCAGGTGCTCAGCCGCTCGGCTCCTGTCCTGTGCCAGCTGCAGAGAGCGGCGGGAGGGAAGGGTCGGTGCGGGCTCTGCCCCTCGGCCGGGCACTGCTGCCTGCGGCCAGCCCCGGCCTCCCGTGCCCGCCCAGCCCTGAGGCACCGGGCAGCAGCCGCTGGCGCCGGGCTCTGGAGGGGGCAGAGGGCCGGCTGCTGCCCGGGGAGCCGCGCTGCTGCCCTGCCCAACAGACCAGCGGTGCCGGGGCTCCATGGGTACACGGCTCGGGGCCACAGGGGGCTGGAGTAGAGCCCGCGGGGCCCAGGGAAGGGAGCAGCGTGTGGGGCACAGGCTGGCGGCCCTGAGTGCGGCACTGGGCAGGGCACAGCTGCCAGCCGCACACACTGAGCTTCTCCAGCCTGGGGCTGGGGCTTCCAGCCCGCCCTTACCAAGCCCTCGCCAAACCTCCAGGTCTGATCCACCCGCAGCATCTGCTGGAGATCCTTCCTCTTCAGGAATCGGGCGGAACAGAGCAGCGTTTCCCGGGAGGCCTGGAGAGCAGCAGAGACCCAGAGATGGCACCACAGCCCAGGGCACAGGACCCACGTCCCTGGGCCAAGACCGGGAGGGAGCTGCAGCCTGCGAGGCAGCAGAGCAGGAGGCAGCCGAGCGCCCTGCCAGGGAGCCACGGCAGCTGCCGAGTCCTCACATCAACCACGCACTGGTTCTCGTCATGGCAGTGCAAGGAGAGTGGGAGCCATCTCTTGTAACTCTGCATGGTGTCTTTCTTCAAAAAAGGTTTTTTGAAGAGGGGAGAAAAATTTTCAAGATGAAGTTGCAGGGAAGCTCCCTGCTGAAAAAAGTGAAGCTTCATCCATCCCACAAACCCCAGCTTGAAAAGACACCAGCACTGGCTTTCTGCACTCCAGAAACCATGTCCTGTCTGGGAATTTAAGAGGAGGCTCAGCAGCTGCAAGAATCACAGCCTCATGGAATCATTTCTGTTGGGAAAAACCTTCACAAGCATTGAGCCCAAGCACTCACAAAAGGAGGTGTCACCTTCCCCTCCCTGATGCCCCAGCCACAAGCACTGAAGGACCAGGGGCCTGTTCCATTGGCTTCCAGCCCAAACCTAATCCCTGTGTCAATCATGGAAGCACAGCAAGAAAGGACCCAAGTTCCCACTCCTGCAGCCAGCAGCACTGATGGAATCTGCTCCACATTGGCATCTGCTCCATGTTGGCATCTGCTCCATGTTGGCATCTGCTCCGTGGCAGGAGGGACTCAGGGATGATCCTGCCCTGGGCTGTCACACTTTGGGTGGGCACTGCCCAACCTGCTCTGGAACTCGTCTTACGCCCTCACTGGAGCCACGGCTGCATGTACTGTCCCAGCACCATCCTGGGGGGCTTCACACACCTCCAAGTCTGAGCTGCTGGCTCTGCTGCCCAGCCCAGCAGCAAGAGGCCTCTGGCAGAGGATTGCTGCCCTTTCTCACCCTCAGGCTCTGCTTGTACTAAACCTTCCCACAGGCCCAGCTTGGATAATTCAGAAGCATATTGTCCCCTACCAGGTCTTGCAGGAGCTTGTTTATTTCCATTTGCTGAGCTGTTCCCTGAAGCCTGAGGCTTTCATGATGCTGCTCTGCCTGCATGAACTGCTGAGCTCTCTCTTCCTGTTCCTTTCTCCTGAGAGCTCTCTCTGCTTCCAGCTCTTGTTGCAGGAATTTCACTTGTCCTGCAAACATCACCAACAGCAGGAGTCAGAGTCTTTGCTGACTTTACTGACCTCAGGCCCTTTCAGTGCCTCCAGCCCCACCACTCCTCAGAAGCCCTGTGGACAGAGGTGGCTTTACAGGGTGCTTAGCTTTTCTCGGCAGGGGCGGCACCACAAACAAAGCACACGAGGTCCTCACCTTCTACCACTGCCTTGGCCTGCGTGACTCTGAGCACTTGAGCCTCCAGATGGTTCCTGCTCATCTCCAGCTGAGATATCTGCTGCTGAGCAGCAGACAGGCTGGATTCCAGGCTCTCCTTTGCTGACCTACAAATTGCAAATACAGAGAGACATGAGCTGCTTGCTCCTGACACCCACAGCTGGTTATTCCAGGACAACGAGGCTCAAGATCCCCACACATCACTATGGAAAATGGATCACATGGAAACTCTTCCAGAGAAGGCACTTTTGTGCCATTTCCATAGCAAAGCAGGGCCCTCTGAGGGAGTGCCCAGGCCTTCCTTATGGCCTGGCACAGCACACACAGCCCAGCCCAACTTGACCTCAACAGCCAAAGCTTCACTTGCTGTTCCTGACCTATGACACTGGGGAGCTGTGCCCGGACAGGATGGGCTGACGAGCAAAGTCTCAGCCTCTGCTCACAGCCCTTCTGTATCAGCACTTGCAAGCTGCTCTGCAGGGGGACAGGACAGACTCTTGTCCTGCCCAACTCCTGACATTTTAATACTCTTGAAAATGGACAGAAAGGTACATCATTTTCCAGACACCGTGTATTTAAGAGACTTCAGAACTACTTGGCATGATGCAGAAAAATCTCAAGGTCATGGTAGCACTTGTAAAAAATACCAACACCCTAAATGCAGAGACTGCTGTTTAAACTCTTGCAAGGTCAAGGAGTAGGCTTGCCACCTTTATTTTAGTATTGTTGGCTAAACAGGCAGTAGCCCAATTGGCTTGTCCTTCTTTACAGAGTGAGAGGGACCATGCAAAGGGACCTCGATTGGTTTGGCAGGTGGATGCCCATCAACAATTAGCAAGAATCCCCAGAGGTCGTTGAGGATTCCAAAGGGCTTTCCCTGCTGCTCTCTAACCACCTCTAGCACCTGGCCCACACTTCTCAAGAGCGGGCTTGGAAGCAGAAAGCCTCAAGACTTTCAGCAGGAGCCTCTGGCTTCACCCACAATGGCAGCAAGCAACAAGGGAAAACATACAGGACTTCCCCTTCTAGAACAAAACACTCCCAATGTCCCCAGGTAAGAGCCTGGAATGCTCAAGATGGGGCTTCAGTTCTGAAGATCAAGATCATGTCAAGCTACTTGGTAAGGAACGAGGGATGTTCAGTGAACCAGGGATGCTCACAAAAAGGAACCAAATGCAAGAGAAACTTGAGGTTTCACTCAACCTCTGCATGCTTTAACTACTACTCAATTCAGGGCTGGGTGGCTTGCTTTTGACTTCCCACAGGAATGTGCTTGGCAGCACAAACAGGAGCCCAAGGCTCATGAGAGCTTTATTGGCTTTAGATGTCAGAAAAATAACCTTCACATTGTGGCATATTTCTCTTTTTTTGGAGACATTTCCATTTTCTTTCCATGGAATGTAAAAACATCTGAAAGGCTCTGCTCCCTGCCTTTACCTGGTCTCTGCCAGCTGCTTGCAAAGCTCTTGTCGGTGCCGCTCCATAGCTGCCAGTCGTCCCTTAAGGGCAGCCTTCTCCTGGCCCAGCAGCTCCTTCTCTCTGCACACCTGGGCCAGTGCGTGCCCTTGGCCAGAGGATTGCTGGCGCAGCTGCTCCAGAGCCCTGCTCGATGACTCTTGCTCCTGGGAAACCTGGAAACAGGACAAGGTACAGCTTGAGCCCTTCCTCAGGAGCCCTGTGCAGAGCCAGCCAGTGCCACCTCGCAGGCAGCCAGAGGACAAGGAGCACCTGTGCTCTGGCCTCCAAGGTTCACAGCACTGCCCTATGCAGCTCTGATACCCTGGGCTGCAAAAGCCTCTGCCACTGTTACCTTGGAGCTGCTGTGTCAGGCCCTGCTGCCTTGCCTGGGACTTGACAGCTCCTTGCCAACAAACATCCCTACTCCAAACTCCATGTTGTCACCCAAAAACACTGCATCTTCCTCAAGTGACACTTGGCAAACAAAATTTCTATCAGGATCTTTTTCAGCCCTGGATATTTTCAGGAAGGTTGGGGAAAGCAATTTTGCTCCCTGAAGGAAGGGAAAATACACAGGACTTCCTCTTCTAGAACAAAACCCCCATCAAAATGTCACCTCCTCCACATGTTCAGAGCAGCTCTCTGCAACGAGGGGATGCTTGGCAGGGAAATGGCTCTTGTGGTGAGCAGACATTTAGTGACTGATGGAAGTCTGGCTGATGTGGCCAATGCAGATGTCTTGGTGCAGCAATTCACACCAACAATACCACTGACTTGTCTTACACAGAGAAGGTGTCTAATGGCCCTTGCTGCTATTCAAGCCAGATGACCAAACCGTGTTTTTGAGCTCTTTTCTCCAAAAGCAAAATCTCTGCTGTGTATTTGCCAAACCTACCACATACCCCAGAACGGAGACTGTCTGAGAGGGACCATCAGAAACAAACCCTTCTCTTGCAGCTATCCTGTCACGCCCAGTCCAAACCTCTCCTGGCACAGCTTGGAGCAGTTTCCTCGTGTCCTGTCCCTTGCTCCCTGGGAGCAGAGCCCAACCCTCAGCTGCTGCACCTTCCTGTCACAGGAAGCTGTAGAGAGCAAGAAGGTGCCCCCTGAGCCTCCTTTTCTCCAGGCTGAGCCCCTCCAGCTCCCTCAGCTGCTCCTTGTCAAACCTGTGCTCCAGACCCTTCCCCAGCTCCATTCCCTGTTTTAGAGGCTCTGTGGCTGCCCAAAGCAACAAATTTTGCAGAAGCATGCAACACATTGCTGACAAACACCCATATCCCTGGCTAAAAAATGCGTGTGCCATTTTGAGGCAGCTGTCCACAGCAGTGTCCCTGTCTTCTTCTGCCAGAAACAGCATCTGGGCTGATCTGGCTGGCACAACTCCCACTCCCACAGGTGCTGCCTAGCAATGAGGTGTCCAGAGCCATGGTGACATCATCCCTCCTTTGCTCCAGCAGATCCCTCTGAAGCTGCAATTCCTCCAGTGTCTGCCTCTTGACTTACAGCTCGCTCTGCAATGAGGGGTCTTCTCCCTCCAGTGCAGCCTCCACTGTACAAGAAGGGCCAAGACAAGTTTTCAAGGGAAAGCCAGTCTCATTTCCAAAACCAACCTCCATCCTGTCCTGCTGCTGGGCCTTTTCCACCTGGGGTGACGTTTCCTTCTGCTGCTCGGTGTTCCTTTGATGCAGCCACAAGGCTCCTGGCTCTGGGATCCCCATGCATTGCTGCAGCTTTTCCCTGGACTTCCCAACGTTTTCGCAGCAACTGCAGAGACAAGGCTCAGTCAGAAGAACAGAGGCCTCAAGAGTCACCGATCCCATTTCCAGCACTCCAGGCTGGAGCAGGGGGCAGTGGGCTAAGGAAGACCTTGCTCTTTCCCTCCCAAGGAAATCCTCCAGAGGCAAAGGGAAAGGAAGGCAGGATTTTGCCTTCCTTCAGTGAGAAGCAGTGGCTGGGCAG